AAAAAAAAAAAAAAAAAAAAAAAAAAAAAAAAAAAGAACGATAGTGGAAGCATACCATCAATCAGATCCAATCGAGAGAAAACGAAGATCTCCACGTTGCAATACAGAAGTCAGATCATAATCGTATAGAAGGAGCAAGGATCGTATAGTGAATCTGTCAAAGGAGACGAAAGATCATTAGATGTGAGAAAGAGAAGACGGATGAGTCTTCTACTCTCCACGTTCGTTCTCCACTTCTCGATTTCTGTTTTTCTTTACAAATTTTTCCTCCTTCCTCCTTTTATGGACAATTTTTTTTCTATTTTTCAAACCAAAATATTAATTATTTTCCTTCAAAATTAAGATAATAAAAGTATATGAGTAAGAGAAGTTGATCAAGTGGATTTGTAACCTCAAGAAAAGGATGGACTATAAGGACTCGGCACAAGGTCCTAGTCTCGAATCCGTCAGTCGTTAGTGTACTACTCGAGCTGTTCTTGCAGTTAGACCGAGTTGTTGCATCACACTAGGAGATGGGCTCGCAGCACACGACTTTTGGCGTGTTTCGACATATACGTGCTCCTAGCACCGACATGTGGGCTCCCATTCTACTTGTCTTGAACCACAGACCACAAACAAAGAGACTTCCTAATTCATCATGCACCCAACGAGGAGTGCTCATTGGAAGGGACTAACAAAACTCTCGTGTATAATTCACATAAAAAAAATAATTAAATTTTATAATTTAACCTTTTAAATTAGTTAAATTACAGATTAATTGTTTCTTAAACTTTAAAGAAATTAGAATAAATGAGTATTAAACTTTAATTTTTTTTTATCCGGTAGATATTTATAACAATTGTAAAATTTATAAATTTATTAACTTTTATATCTAATAAATTATAAAATATTTAATTTCTTATTATTTTTTTTAATTTTAGAAAGAAATCGAATAAAAAGTTTTAAGAAATTATTATATATTTATTGTTCTTGTTTCCCGATTAACACAAAAATGTTATTCTCGCAGCAGTTCTTCTGTTCGGTGTAAGCTCTGAACTGAAGTTCTCATTTTCGTTCGTCTTCATCTCTTTCGTCAGTCAATCCATTTCTCCATATGCTTCTCTATTAGCATGTTTCTTTGAAATACAACTGCGGTTATCATTAGGGTTTTGATCTTCGATTCATCATTCCAAGAGACGGACCGGAAGAGTTCGTCCACCTCCCATCGTTTCTCCCTGGCTTGCTGTTTGCGCAATAATCTCCATCTATCTGTTCTTCGGCTGCTAAATCCCTCTGGAAATTGAGATTTTAAACCAGAGATATGGAATCAGCGGAGGGGCTTAATCACTTCAAAGTTGGGCTTCTTCCAACAGTGTTCTATATTCCCGACTTCATAAGCGACGAAGACGAGACTATGATTCTGGATAATGTACCAATTTTTACCATTGCTTTTCGTTCTTTGTCCTTTTTTTCGCCCTGTAATTGTTCGCTAAGCTAGGTAAGTTTCATTTGTAGATTTATAAAGCGCCTGCGTCAAAATGGAAATCCTTGAAGAACAGGAGGCTGCAAAATTGGGGTTTGTTGAATAGCGATCTCATGTATTTTTTGCTAATTTTTCGAAGTTCTGAATCTTTGAAAGATCTGTAAGATTGCTTTCCTTAACCATTGATTTCTTGCAGGTGGCGTTGTGCATGAAAAAGGTCTTCTTCCTCAAGAATGTAAGTAAAGAAAGAACTATATTTAAATGTTCTTAGTTAAGCTTAAACTTGATTGCCATATATCAGCTAAAATTAATGCATGGAGATAGACTTCTTATTGACTTGATTACAGAATTCTAGCATGCTCTATTCATAATAACTTTCTATATTCAAGGTAATAGTACATTTTGTTCCCTGTTCTGTGCAATTTTTTCTTGAACGTTTAAAAATTGAAGACAACCAATGGGAGAAATTTGGTTCATGAGAAATTAACTTCAAATTGGAAGTATAAGGCAACTTATAGGATAGGTGAACACAATGTGGAGGTTTGGAATGCAGCAAATTTCATTTTTGTCTTTCTGTTGGCTGTACTACCAAATTTAACTTTTGCTTTTGATTACGTTGGGGAATTAATACTTTTGGTTAGACTAGTTTAATTCAACCGCCTCGTGGGAATGATAGAAAACAGCTGGAAAGACTTATACTGTGAGATTCCATATTGGTTGGAGACGGGAATGACCATTCCTTATAAGGGTGTGGAAACCTCTTCTTAGTAGATGCGTTTTAAAATCGTGAGTCCGACGACGATACGTAACAGGTTAAAACGGACAATATTTGCTAGCAGTGGGTTTGAGTTTTTACAAATGGTATCAGAGCCAAACACCGAGCGGTGTGTCGACGAGGACGTTAGGCCCCTAAGAGGGGTGGATTGTGAGATCCCATATCGGTTGGAGACGGGAACGAACCATTCCTTATAAGGGTGTAGGAACCTTTCCCTAGCAGACGCATTTTAAAACCGATGGCGATACGTAACGAGCGAAAGTAGACAATATCTAATAACGGTGGGCTTGGGCTGTTACATATACTGCCATCAAGCTTGCAATTGGATATTAGTGCGGGTTTATGAACTTACTTGAAGAGAATCTGTTCTATAGATTTTATAATGGTGTCCTTTGAGCTCTAAAGTTTTGATATTAGCACGGTTTTCTTACTCATCTACGTTGGGTAGTCCATATTTTCATGTCCCTTACGCAAAAACTTGGATATTTCACATTCTTCTACAACGATTGCTTAAGTAGGACAAACAAGCATCCATATCATTTATCATAGTACACCACTTGACCCTATGCAGGTTGCCAAAATTTGTTTCCATCAAGCCATTTATTCTTGTATAATTTGTTTCCATCAAGCCATTTATTCTTTGTATAATTTGTTTCCATCAAGCCATTTATTCTTGTATAATTTGTTTCTGTTTTCTGCTGTGCCTAATTCTCCTCTATGGTTGGCACTCATCTTGATTTACAGCTTTACATATATGTTCCTTTCTCTAAGAGATTTGCCTCTCTGGATGTTAGGTGAAAAAATTGGACGAATTCAATCAGTTAAATTAACAAATCTCTGTCTTTTGATGTTCTGCAGTGCCTATATGGCTGACGAATATCACCAAGAAGATCTATCAAGAAACAAATCTATACCCTGCACCCATAAACCATGTTCTTATCAACGAATACCGTCCTAATCAAGGCATAATGGTACGAGCTGACGTTTGCCCATTCTTAGCGCAGTTCTTGTTTGAATTATAATTATGTTCTTGCCAAGATCCTCATCATAGAACTAATCTAGTGCTGTACTTTACCAATTAGCAACATCTTAGAAACAGTTTTTGGTTCTTGTGTAGCCACACCAAGATGGGCCTGCGTACTTTCCGGTAGTAACAATTCTGTCTCTCGGTTCTCCTGTCGTTATGGACTTCACTCCCCATTTGAGGTTGAAATCATGTCCAGACCAGTTGACAGAAAGCTTCGACGACAAGGATTCTAATGGAGCTTCTGATGTCGAGACTCACCGCCCTTTCTCTATCCTTCTAATGCCTCGTAGTTTGCTCGTTTTTAAGGATGAAGCTTATTCGGGTAAATCTTGCTATTGATTTTGTCTTTTAACCATCCCTGCTTACTTGATTTTATCTTCTAATGCCTCGTAGGTTACTTGCATGGCATCAGTGACAATAGTCTTCAATGTTATGAACAGGTATGATAACGACTAAATGTAGCTTTTGCAGGATCTAATTGATTCTTGATATTGATTTCATCATTGCAAGTTTGTTTTTCATTTCTTTGCTTTCTCAGGCAGTGAACAAAATTGAAGTTCGTAACTGTCTATTAGAAACTGAAAATCCAACCGTTGAAGTGAACTGCAATCATAGTTCTTTCGAGAGAACGAATAATCGGCTTTCGTTGACATGTCGACTCGTACCAAAGGTTCACAAGCATTTGTTCAGGCGTTGAACGGCTCTTGAAGAAACTTTTGGTTTGTACAATATCACAAGTTCTAAATTGGCTATCCTAGGTTCGTTAACCATTGGTTTATGATTTTATAGTTTAATAATATGAGGTAAAGGATTCAAATTTTTAATTTCTTAGTCGTTGGTATGTATTTATAAGTTGAGTTATAACGGTTGAAAATTACCACGCAAAATTGACGGTCAAAATTATCGTCACCATTACCTCTACCTAAACTTGGACTAGTTAAATAAAGGCTTTAAGTGAAATTTAAAACGTTATAATTTAAAAATTGTGACATCAATGGTGATACAATATCTATTATTGGTTGGTTCAAGGTATAATTTTTTTACAACTGTCTAACATTATAATTTATTTTTATTTGATAATATTTCTTTTTCTTTCATCATATACATAATATCATTTATTTATAATTAATAAAGGGAAGATTTTGAGTTAAAAATAACAACACGATCACTTTTATTTTTCAATTTATAATTTACAATTTCATCTATATTTTTATTATATTTTCTTATCCACACAATACCATATATTTTAAACTAATAGAGAAGAGAGTTAAAAATAACAAGGTAAAAATATGTTTGAGATAATTTTTTTTCATCAAATATTTTGACAATATCAATTTTATTTTTATTTTCTCATCTACATAATACCATTTATTTTCGACTAGAGACTTTAAAGTAACAATATTAGAAAGATATTTCAACCTGATTTTATCACAAGATTTTGTGAAAAAAAAAACGAAAAACAAAAAGAAACTTGACACATGGCTCTATAAGGTCGGGCACGTGGCACGCTGCAAAAGCTCAATTAACACCTCTGCTCTATAAACTAAGGGTCGAGTGTAGTAGGTTTTCACTTTGTGTATTCAGAGGGAAAAAAAATGTAATGAATGAAAGGAAGGGGAAAGAGAAATGGAGGAAGCAGTGCAGGAAAAGAAGTCAAGAAAGAAAAGAGAAGAGTGGAAGAAAAAGAAGAGAAGAGAAGAATAAATGGAAAAAGATCGATAAAGCAAAAGAAAGAAGATGAGAAGAGGTAGAAAAGAGAGAGACAGAGAAGCCAGAAGAATATGTGAAAGAAAGAAAGAAAGAAAGAAAGAAAGAAAGAAAGAGAACATGAAAAGGAAAAGGAAAAACGAGTTCCATAAGAAATGGCCTCTTCAATTTGAAAAAGAAAAAGAAACGCCTTCAAATTCACTACGGTTAACCAATGAATTTCATAATACAAAATTAAATACTTAGACATAATCTAAGAGTGAAATACGTCATCGATCAACATGTTATAAGTTCTTGAACTCAAAAGGAATGACATGACATCAAAGATTCAATATCCATTAAACATGTCCTCTCAAACTAATTATATTAATTTTAGTGATATATATCCTCACTAAATTTTAGAGCACAAAACTCAAATTTATTAACTAAACTTGTAATTAACAAAAAGAACAGAAACAAGAATCACTTCGTAATGAAGTTACTAAATTCAAAATTGACGGATGAAATTCAGGAAACCAATCCACATCATAAAAAGAGAGAGAGAGATGGAAACATTACATGGCGAGCACAAACATCCGGAAGAAAATAATCTTTCAATATTTTGAATCTACTTCATCTTTCGCAAACAAACATTAATATGTTCAAGGACCTGCAGCACTCATAAGATCAAAAGAAAAAAAGAAAAAGAAAAAAAGAAAAAGAAAAAAGAAGAGAAATGAAGAGAGAACATAACAATGCTCGAGTCACCAGATCTCTGCTTCTTCCTCAAATCGGAACTTCTATTACACACAGAATTCAACTTCCATTGAAATCGATCTACCTTCTGTAATCGAAACTTGAAATTTCTAGGTTTCAGGAAGTGAAATAGAAAACCGGATGGAGGATAAGGTGGAGTAGCATGATGCAAGTGAAAGAGAAAGAGAGGAAAAACAATCCGTACACAATTTGTAAAGCCATAGTCGAGAAATTACGCAGATCGGAGCCTCTGGTTCGATGATCGCAGATCTCCGATTCAGAGAGAAAGCGGATAACCCAATTTTGCCGGAAGGATTTGGGATATTTTGAATTGTTTATATTATTATAGCAATCGCCAAGCCGAACGTGGCAAACCCCAAACAGTGACTTTGCCACGTGGCCACAGAACGGAATTCATTCCGCTAATATAATAATTTCTAATGGTTATTAATTTTATCTTACAAAATTTACCTTTTTAATAACATAAAATATGTACGATAATAAATAGAATAAAATATGTACAATAAAAAAGTCATAAATATAATTATAAACCAAAAAATAAAACAACTACTATAATTATTATCACTAGTATTTATTAACTATCACTTATTTTTAATCATAAATTATAAATTTAACTAAATTTATAAATTAATTTTATTTTCTTAATTCTTGAAGTTTCTATTTAATAACTATTTTATTTTTTATTTTTAAAAATAAGATCTTAAAATTTTAATTTTATTATTTATTTATTTATTTATTTTTTAATATATTTCAGCATCGAATTAATCAGAATCAGGATTTCATAAATGGATAAAAGAAAAATTAAAAAAAGAAAAAAAGAAGAGTAAAATAAATACAAGAAATATGTTTGACCTTGAAGAAGGTTGAGATTGGAGTTTCGTTGCGGCGATCGAATGCGATGGAATCAATCTGTTGAAGAAAAAGTACGGCGAAAACGACGTCGATTCATCCACATCCATCCAGATCGTCTGCTTCAATCCCGTCGACTGGCCAATGGAACTTGCTCTGCCAGAGGAGTCGACAACGGCGTCGGAATCGGCGAGGTCCGGCAAACCGGACAGGTCGGGTGAAGCCTCAGCCACGGATCGATGCACTTGAGGTGAAAGAGATGGCCGCAATCAGGCAAAGCCCTAAGAACATTCGAGTTCTTGTAATCGGCCAAACAGATTGAACAGCAAGAGGCAGAGGAATCATTCTTCAGAAGCTTCGCCTCCGAATACAGCAATTTCGGATAACTCTTAATCGTTTCCTGATCGAGTCCGACATCGACGACTGCGGCGGCTTCTCCCTCCGCCTGCGGCGGCGAGCGATTGCTGTTTCTCTCGACCACGGACGTCGACGATAAGCCGTTTCTGGTGCAGTAATAGGAAGCTAAGAGGATCGTAGTGATGAGAATCAAAAGCCCTAACGAGACGCCGATTCCGTAGCCGAAACCGCCGATGTTGTTTGAGGACAGAAATCCGCCGCTGTCCGCCGTGCCGTTGTTCATCGCGGTGAGACGCAGAGGATGAGTAGCCGGAGCCGGAGAGGGAAAATGAGAAGATTGGATTTGTCAGTTGCCATTGTTGTAAGGCTCATTGATTATTTGGGAGTTTTCACGGCGCCTCCACTCAAAAGTCAATGCCAATTGCCAAGATGAGATTTGAACAAAAAAAAACCCAAATTTATTTATTTACTTATAGTGTAAGCTAAATGTATAATTAATAATGTTTGAATCATTCAATTATTTTTTACGTAATAAATTAATAAATAAATTTTATTCCTAATGTAAATAATAATAACAATTTAGTCCCTTTAATTTGTAACAATTTAATCCCTAATGCAAAATATATTATTAATATTTAATGAAATTATATATATATATATATATATATATATATATATATATATATATATATATTATTAAAAAAGTATCATTTTTAAATCTACACAATTCTTTTTATATGTGTGACGATAAAGATTTAATGCAAAGATATTTGATATTGATGCATAAGAGATTAAATTAATCTTATTTAATATAATTATAATAAAAAATAAAATTGAAAAATAATGCCAAATCAAAATTGATAGATAGTTATTAAAAATAAAGTCAATGGGTATCCATGTGATGGGGAGACTAAGTATGCATTATCACTGGATGAGGATTTTGAATATTTTAATGATGTTTTCCAAAGTCAACGCTCTCTTTTTTTTTTTTTTCACAACAAATAATGAAAAAGAAACTAAATGCTTTAAGGATCATTATTTATGTATATTTGTAATCGATTTTATTTTAAATGAATGCTAAAAATATCTCAAAAAGTTTAAATTACAAAATTCTAACCATTTTCATCTAAGTTTTAAATATATGATCAAAACTTTAGTATTTTGTTTTTAAATAATATAAAATTTAGAAATATTTTTATTAATTTAACCAAAAAAACATAAGAATCATCTTGATGGAATTCATTGGGATCCGGAGCATTTTACATTTATTAATATAATAAAAACAGAAAATGCTAGGAGAGATGGAATAACTTTATTTAAAAATTATTTTTAAAACATTTGGTAAAATTATATAAAATATTTTGTTGTAATGATATGTTCATGCATATTAAATAACTATAAAATTTTAATTAGTATTGGTGAAGAATTCGAATTCATCCCGCACAAGCCAAGTTGTTAATATCTAAAGAAAGAAGGATTTTGAAGCCCCATGGTTAATATTTAAAGAAAGAAGGATTTTGAAGCCCCATGGTTAATATCTAAAGAAAGAAGGATTTTGATCGAGTTGACCTTTCTGATAAAATATGTGAGATCCCACGTCAGTGAGAGAGGAGAACGAAGCTGAGTGTGGAAACATCTCCCTAACAAACACGTTTTAAAAATCTTGAGGGGTAGCCTGAAAGAGAAAGCACAAAGAAGACAATATCTGCTAGCAGTGGACTTGAACCGTTACAAAATAAATGATCTTATAGACTATTTTCTAAAAATGAAATTAATCTATTAGAGCGTTTATGACATAAAAGAACATATTATTGTAACGTGGATGTGTATAAAGTTCCATTTAGACTATAGTTTCAGAAAGTAACTATGTATAACTTCCTCAACACTTGATAAATATTGCAATTCCTATGCTACACTTCCATTTAATCAAGAACATAGAACTGGCAATGAAGCATGTGATGGTTTCCACACAACCCATCAGCTTACAGCATAGCCAGATTCTTCACACATATTTTCTATTCTGTTCTATTTTAATCTACGAAAATCGGCCATAGTGATCCGGGAGTTCCGCTATTCTACAGGGATCACACGCACACCCTAAATAACGATCCTTGGATATGCATCTACCTACCTAACATAACAGACAGTTTTGCAGATGAAAGTTTGTAATATATCTGCTTACCATGTATAGATGGGATTTTCGACCTGAGGAGGAAGGAGACGGAGGTCTTTACAGTGCTGTCTGTCGTAGTCACGGGTCCCCGGGATCGCTCCGGTACAGAGTCTGAGGAGTTCGTTACCAGTAAGACAATAATGGGCAAATGCAAGACCGCCATCAACGACTTCAGTCAGACTAGGTGTTGAGATCGACTTCCTGATCGCTTTCCGATCGGTTCCGTTTGATTCCAATTCTTTATCACTGTTCAAGACTTTGTTGAGATCAGAATACTCCAAGAATCTCTGGGTAGCAGCCTCCCATGAGAGATTGTATCTTTCCTCAGGAGTAAGAGGGTGAGGTTCGTTTTCCAATGCCTCTTTCACTTTGGCAACAAAATCTTCGGATGACTTGAATGTCAAACAGTTGGGGAAAGACCTGAAGAAATCATTGGATGGATGATCTGCACATACTACAAACTTTCCCATGGCAAGAGCCTCCGCCGTAGCGGTACAGAGCACGTCGCTGACGCTCGGGTTTATAAATACTTTGTAGCTTCAGGGAGAAACACAGAAATATACTTTCAGAGGAAGAACACAAAGAAATTCTATTGCATAAGCATTGAAAAAGAGGGTTCTTACTCGTGAAGTGAATCATCTGCATGGTCCCTTCCTCTCAAGAAGTTTACATTCAGCTCTAACTTTTTAGCTGTGCTCTGAACCTCGTGGGCGTCCTCTCCATTTCCAAACACATCCAAATTGAACCCATCAAGCTCATGCTTGTGCTTTGCAAGCAAATCTATCAGTTCTCTGTATCCTTTTGCCCAGACCATTTTGCCTAAGAAATATGCGCCTTTTGAAAAAGTTATATTCCCAAGCTTTCTATCTTCATCGATTTTTTCTCCAATTTTTAAGAACTTTGGATTTACACCATGCACATTGCAAATAACAGACTTGGGAAGATCTTGGGTGGCAGCAGAAAGTCGAAGAACCTGGAAAAAAGATAGAACAAATGGTCGAGTAATTGAAACTGTGAGAACCCACAACAATGTTAAGAGCGATCCAATCACGAAGAAACATCTAGAGGAATGATATTCTTCCATAGCAAACAAGAACAGTTCAATTAGACCAGAACAATTCAGATCATCCATTATGATTTGCCCAATTAGACTAATACCTTATGACAATAAGCTCTGATGACCCAGTTGTTTATGTGTTTCACAAGGAATGCTTGCAGAGCGCCATTTTTCTCCCGCTTGATGTATTCCAAGTAATTCGTATGGACCACACCGACAACGTGGTTAAATTTATCGGTCCAACGCCTGCCATGATGGTACCAATTAAGGTGTTCTGGTTCTTCTAAGATAGCTATGTCAGCGTCCTTGGAAGGGATAAACTGAGAAGTATCACCAGCTGGTATGATACTCCGCCTCTCTTTTGAGAACTATAAAACAATGAATCAGTCTAAGTTCAATCCCTCAGTGAACGAAGTTGTTAACAATTCACAAGAAACTCACCTTTCCTGGATAAAATGAGATTTTAAAATCAGGCTTAAACCCAATTCTTTCCTCAAGCCATTTACGAATGTAAGTCTCTTGCTCTTCTGGAGAACTAAAGGTGAGATGGTTAGGATAAACTAACTCCTGATCTGACATGGAAAGCCAAGGAACTAATAACGTTACACTTTGTTTTGCAGATTGTGCAAGATATGCAGCCCTAAACAACGGGTTTACAGCTGTTCCCGTCATCCATGGAAGGCTAGCGGTCGTGACGATAGCAACGTGCCTTTTCCCATCTGATGGTATGTGCTTTCCATGATCAGTCCAAAACCCACCATCATAGCAATGTCCAGTACTTTCTAGGACACTGGCTACCCTTGAATCCAATTCATCATTTACGCTATCATTTCCTAAAATAGAGGTTTCTCCTGAAGTGGAGCCCCATAGTAATTGATTCTTGCGTTTGTTACACAAGTTTTCCACTATCTTATCACAAACATCTGCAAGAAACCGATCAACCGGTTATGTACAAATTAAAACAGATAGAGGGAGGAAAACGCATCAGGACATCTTGAAACAGCCTAAGCTCACTGTTAGCAGATATTGTCCGCTTTGACGTTAGTCTCACGGTTTTAAAACGCATCTATTAAGGAGAGGTTTCCACACCCTTATAAGGAATACTTTGTTCCCCTCTCCAACTGATGTGGGACCTCACAATCCATCTCCCTTGGGGCCAAGCGTCCTCACTGACACACCACCCAGTGTCTGGCTCAGATATCATTTGTAACAACCCAAGCCCACCGCTAGCAGATATTGTCCGCCTTTTACATCAGCCTCACGGTTATAAAATGCGTCTACTAAGGAGAGGTTTCCACATCCTTATAAGGAATGCTTTGTTCCTCTCCTACAGCATCTTAAAGGCTGCAGTACTAGATTTTGAAAATTTTACCTGTTCTAATGCCAATTTGATCAAGGAAAGATCCAGATTGCCTAACTAAGCATGCTAAAAGCTCAGGAACACCCAGTGGTGGCACCTCCTATATGCACAAAAATGGTGAGATTATTAGCTTAATTATACCACAGAAAAGAAATTGAAGCATGTTTCCCACGACTTGAACATTTTAGAAGCAAAGATGAGCCAAACCTTTGAGTCTTCAGGGTCCTTGCAGATTGATCTCTGCAAACAAGAGATTCAAGCAAATCATTATGGAAGGGACAGAAATATATCAAGTCTACGATGATAGCATTAATCTAAAGGTCATGCTAAATAAGATTAAAGAACAAGAAACATACCAAGCTCGACTTCACTTTCTCCACGAAGTCCCCGTTCTTAAAGCTTTCAAACATCTCGGCCGACGAACTCCGCTTCTCGAACTCCCTCAATCTTGTTTTCAACGCTTGGATTGGCTCCCAATCCCTAGTAACGGCCACCTCCTCGCTCTCGTTCTCTCCCCAAAACTCTCTAAACCTCACTCTGTTCCATTTCCTCATCCCAGCACCATCGATAACCCCATCCCCATCTTCCACCTCGGACACAATTGCGTTCTTAATAGCAGACAAATCGATCCGAATCCTCGTCCTGGGCTTCCACTTCTCCAGTACAGTCTTGCTAAAGTCCGGCGAAGAGTAC